CTATTTAACTACTTGCCGACCGCAGATAGCCGAATGACGGCTACACTGCGGCCGGCTAGTTCTGGGAGGGTGTCATATGATGTCCTCCCAGAACACGCTCTCCTGCTCGCCCCCGGCCCCCGCAGGCGATCGCGGTGATCGCTGTTTCGCGGACACAGCTGATCACGTGATGTGGTAAAAGGCCAATCACAGCGGCCTTTTACCACGTGATCAGCCGTGTCCAATGACACCCTGATCACAGGGAAATGCAATTGCCGGTTGTCGGCTGCAGTTTCCTCACGCTGTCAGAACGTGGGGAAAGTACTGCCGAGAACCGGCAGTTGTCAGAGCGGGGATCGGCACTGATAATTAGTGCCCTGATGATCGGTGCCCAGCAGTGCCACCCACCTGTGCCACCCACCTGTGCCCACCAGTGCAGCCCAGCAGTGCTGCCAGTCAGTGTCACCAGTCAGTGCCCAGCGGTTGTGCCAGTCAGTGCCCAGCAGTGATGCCAGTCAGTGCCACCTATCAGTGCTGTCTATCAGTACCCATCATTAGTGCCGCCGCCTATCAGTGCCCATCAGTGACGCCTCATCAACGCACATCAGTGAAGGAGAAAAATTACCTGTTTGCTAAAAATTTGAAAAAAAAAAAGTTTTTTGTTTCGATTATAAAATTTTTCACTTTTTTTGTTTATAGCGCAAAAAGTAAAGTGCCCAGCGGCGATTAAATACCACCAAAAGAAAGCTCTATTTGTGAGAAAAAAATGATAAAAATTTCATATGGGTACAATCTTGCATGACCGCGCAATTGTCGAAGTGTGACAGCGCTGAAAGCTGAAAATTGGCCTGGTATTGAAGGGGGTATAAGTGCCCGGTAGGCAAGAGGTTAAATTGAAGAAAGAGAGGGAGAAAAATGAACTGGAATGCAGTAAAAAAAAATGCACTGGAACGCGTCAAAACTGCGCATGCATGCAAAAACGCATCCCGAACACATCTGGACTGCGTTTCTATAGTGTGAACCGGCCCTTAAAAAGGAAAGGAATGCGGGCGTCACATCGAAGAATTGGCATGTTACAATAATAATACATGTCTGCCTTTGGGGTGAATCCTGCTTTGTATTATCAGCAGGGAGCCCAGAAGATCCCCGAGGTTGTCATCCATCATCTCTGCAAGTAATGTCTGGATGTATCCTGGCTGGAGGAACAAGGAGCGCCGATAACTCCACGCCAGGCGCATGGTCCCCTCTACTGGGTGTGCCGCCATCAGATAACCAGTCTGTACTTCTCTCGGGATACAAGAGGATCCCACTCACAGACCTGATATACTGAAACCCCGCCTCCTCTCCTGGACTGTATGACTACTCTGATGTCACCGCACACTGCGAGCTTCCTCACAATATGCATCAGAAGCTGCAGCAAGGCAGACAAAGCCTGCCTCATTTCCTGGCTGGAGGACATCCAGCATCATCCAGACCAGCGGTCTCCAAACTGTGGCCCTTTGCTTGCTTTTATTCAGCCCTTGTGGAAATATTTCATCCACTGACACCAATGAAGGGGTGGAATTCCTCATAATGACAGCAACGATGGAGCACAATTGCTCCCAATGACATCAATGGTGGGTCAGAATTCCTCCCAATGACACCAATGCTGGCTCAGAATTCCTCTCAATGACAAATGCTGGCTCAGAATTCCTCTCAATGACACCAATGAAAAGTCAGAATTCTTCCCAATGAGACCAACGTTGGCTCAGAATTCCTCTCAATGACAAGTCAGAATTCCTCCCAATGACACCAATGCTCAGAATTCCTCCCAAAGACACCAACGCTGGGTCAGAATTCCTCCCAATGACACCAACGCTGGCTCAGAATTCCTTCCAATGACACCAACGCTGGCTCAGAATTCCTCCCAATGACACCAACGCTGGCTCAGAATTCCTCCCAATGACACCAACGCTGGCTTAGAATTCCTCCCAATGACACCAACGCTGGCTCAGAATTCCTCACAATGACACCAACGCTGGCTCAGAATTCCTCCCAATGACACCAACGCTGGCTCAGAATTCCTCCCAATGACACCAATGCTGGCTCAGAATTCCTCACAATGACACCAATGCTGGCTCAGAATTCCTCCCAATGACACCAATGCTGGCTCAGAATTCCTCACAATGACACCAATGCTCAGAATTCCTCCCAATGACACCAATGTGGGTCAGAATTCCTCCAATGACACCAATGCTGGCTCAGAATTCCTCCCAATGACACCAATGCTGGCTCAGAATTCCTATCAAGGACAAGTCAGAATTCCTCCCAATGACACCAATGCTGGGTCAGAATTCCTCCCAATGACGGGTCAGAATTCCTCCAATGACACCAACGATGGGTCAGAATTCCTCTCAATGACACCAATGATGGGTCAGAATTCTTCCCAATGACACCAATGATGGCTCAGAATTCTTCCCAATGACGGGTCAGACACCAATGACACCAACGCTGGGTCAGAATTCTTCCCAATGACACCAATGATGGGTCAGAATTCTTCCCAATGACGGCTCAGAATTCTTCCCAATGACACCAATGATGGCTCAGAATTCTTCCCAATGACACCAATGATGGCTCAGAATTCTTCCCAATGACACCAATGATGGCTCAGAATTCTTCCCAATGACACCAATGATGGCTCAGAATTCTTCCCAATGACACCAATGATGGGTCAGAATTCTTCCCAACGACACCAATGATGGGTCAGAATTCTTCCCAACGACACCAATGATGGGTCAGGATTCCTCCCAACGACACCAATGTTTGGGCACAATTCCTCCTGGGTGGGGCCAGGGAAGAGAAAATATAAGCCAGGGGTGTCAAACTGGCGGCCCTCCAGCTGTTTCAAAGCTACAAGTCCCATCATGCCTCTGCCTTTGGGAGTCATGCTTGTAACCGTCAGTCTTGCAATGCCTCATGGGACTTGTAGTTCTACAACAGCTGGAGGGCTCCAGTCTGACACCCGTGATCTAAGCAGATTAAACTTCAGCTTCATAAGGCATTAAACAGATGAAACTGCCCAAAAGAGTGTGAAATGTATGTGCTGAGAGAATGGTGAGCGGTCTCAGTACGGACCCCCCCCCCCCCCCCCCCGGCTATGTGCCAGGCAGCTGCAGACATCACCCTGGGCCCGGTTTTTAATTTTGTTTAGAGCTGGTGGCCGACTTTCTTGTAAAAGCGATCACAGCGGCTAACTAGCTGCTCCATTGCTTTTACAAATGGTAGGAGGGGACCTTTGGACGCCCTCTCCGGATCTCCCTTCCCTCCGTGAGACCCAAGCGGCCAGCTTTGTTCGGCTCCGTTAATCAGTTGCAGACTCCGGACATGGTACACACACCCCCAATAAAATGTGTCCCATGGCCAGTCCCTCTACCCTGCTGCCACGACCTCCTCTGTCCTGCCAATTTAGCTCTGATTAATCAAAGAGTACACAGAGAAAGCTAGAGCTGTCAAAAAACAAACAAAAACAAAACAAACAAACAATGTGGCAATGTTTATCCACAACACTGCTCAATGGTGAATACAGAAACATTGTTTCATTTTGTATCCTTCTGTTTATTCATCTACAGATCAAAGGGATGAACTTCCATCTGCAGGTGAAGTCAGGCAACCTCCAGGATTTCTAGAGTGAAAGATAGACGACAAATAGAGAAAACCCAATATTCCTGTTTAACCCCTTATTAACCCTTAGTTTATGCTAATCTCTCCTAATTAACTCCTCCTTCTCCATTCAATTATTCTCCTGCTGACTTTTTATCTATTTTGTTAACTATTATTTTAAATTTTTTTGTTTCAGTATGGTGGGGGGAGGGGTGATCCCCTGTCAGTGTGGTGGGGGGAGGGGTGATCCCCTGTCAGTGTGGTGGGGGGAGGGGTGATCCCCTGTCAGTGTGGTGGGGGGAGGGGTGATCCCCTGTCAGTGTGGTGGTGGGGGAGGGGTGATCCCCTGTCAGTAAAGGAGGGGAGATCCCCCCCTGTCAGTGTGGGGGGGGGGGTGATCCCCTGTCAGTGTGTGGTGGGGGGGGGGGAGGGGATCCCCTGTCAATGTGGTGGGGGGGGGGAGGGGAGATCCCCTGTCAGTGTGGAGGGGGGGGGGGGGGGGAGATCCCCTGTCAGTGTGGTGGGGGGGGGGGAGGGGAGATCCCCAGTGGTGGGGGGGGAGGGGAGATCCCCCGTCAGTGTGGTGGGGGGGGGGTCAGTGTGGGGGAGATCCCCTGTCAGTGTGGTGGGGGGGGGGAGGGGAGATCCCCTGTCAGTGTGGGGGGGGGGGGAGGGGAGATCCCCTGTCAGGGGGGGGGGGGGGAGGGGAGATCCCCTGTCAGTGTGGTGGGGGGGGGGGGGGGGGAGATCCCCTGTCAGTGTGGTGGGGGGGGGGGGGGGGGGGGGGGGGGGGGAGATCCCCTGTCAGTGTGGTGGGGGGGGGGGGGGAGATCCCCTGTCAGTGTGGTGGGGGGGGGGGGGGGAGATCCCCTGTCAGTGTGGTGGGGGGGGGGAGGGGAGATCCCCTGTCAGTGTGGTGGGGGGGGAGGGGAGATCCCCTGTCAGTGTGGTGGGGGGGGAGGGGAGATCCCCTGTCAGTGTGGTGGGGGGGGGGAGGGGAGATCCCCTGTCAGTGTGGTGGGGGGGGGGGGGGGTGATCCCCTGTCAGTGTGGTGGGGGGGGAGGGGTGATCCCCTGTCAGTGTGGTGGGGGGGGGGGGGTGATCCCCTGTCAGTGTGGTGGGGGGGAGGGGTGATCCCCTGTCAGTGGGGGGGGGGGGGGGTGATCCCCTGTCAGTGTGGTGGGGGGGAGGGGTGATCCCCTGTCAGTGTGGTGGGGGGGGGGTCAGTGTGGGGGTGATCCCCTGTCAGTGTGGAGGGGGAGGGGTGATTCCCTGTCAGTGTGGGGGGTGATGACATTGCAGTGTTCCCCCCGGTGGCGGTACATCTGTCTCTATGATCAGGCCTCCTCCCGGTTCCCCTCCATTCTCTTCTCTCTCTCACCTCCTCTGCCGTCTCCCCGGCTCCCCCGACTTCCACCTCCAGCACAGCGGCGGCCATCTTGCGCCACGACAGCGAGTTCCGGGAGAGTCCGGCCAATGACACGGCAGCCAAGGCCTCCAGAGGCCCTCCAATCAGAATGCAGGACGGTGACCAAAAGGCCCGCACACGTGACCCGGAAGTGATCCTGTGGACCTGAGGCGCCCCATGTTGGTTGTGGTCACCAGAATGGGCACTCCTATACCCGGTCCCCACAACCTCATATCGTTCTCATTCATTCCTAAGACTGGTCATGTCACATAGGATAGTGACTGCACAAATCGTCTCCCGGTGTCCAACCATGACTTAGGAGACGGTCTACGGAAAGATGGCCACCTTCCTTTACAGCGAAGGAGGGGACTGCTCGGCCTCTAGTGTCCAATAGGATAGAGTGATGTGTGCTGACGTCAGGGGGTGGAACCGAAAGGAGCGCGGGAAATTCAGGTATGGATTGTGAGGTGTATGGGGATCACTGTGTGTGATATGGGGGAGGGGGGCTTCTGTCTGAAGGAGGAGAGAGCACACAAGGCAGACCTTCTCCCAGAACCCCATCCCATATGTCCCCATATACTGGAATGATCCCCCCAGTGTCCCCGTATACTGGAATGATCCCCCCCATAGTGTCCCCGTGTACTGGAATGATCCCTGCCAGTGTCCCCGTGTACTGGAATGATTCCCCCCAGTGTCCCCGTATACTGGAATGATCCCCCCAGTGTCCCCGTGTCCCCGTATACTGGAATGATCCCCCCAGTGTCCCCGTATACTGGAATGATCCCCCCCTTAGTGTCCCCGTATACTGGAATGATCCCCCCCATAGTGTCCCCGTGTACTGGAATGATCCCCCCAGTGTCCCCGTATACTGGAATGATCCCCCCCATAGTGTCCCCGTGTACTGAATGATCCCCCCCAGTGTCCCCATATACTGTCCCCCCCAGTGTACTGGAATGATCCCCCCTTAGTATCCCCGTATACTGGAATGATCCTCCCCATGTCCCCCCAGTTATACTGGAATGATCCCCCCCAGTGTCTCCATATACTGGATTGATCCCCCCCAGTGTCCCCATATACTGGAATGATCCCCCCCAGTGTCCCTGTGTACTGGAATGATCCCCCCCAGTGTCCCCTTTTACTGGAATGTTCCCCCCAGTGTCCTCTTATACTGGAATGACCCCCCCCAGTGTCCCCATATACTGGAATGAACCCCCACTGTCCCCGTATACTGGAATGATCCCCCCCAGTGTCCCCGTGTACTGGAATGATCCCCCCAGTGTCCCCGTGTACTGGAATGACCCCCCCCCCCTGTGTACCCGTATACTGGAGTGATCCCCCCCAGTGTCCCGGTATACTGGGATGATCCCCCACTGTCCCCGTATACTTGAATGATCCCCCCCAGTGTCCCCGTGTACTGGAATGATCCCCCCACCCCCGTGTACCCGTATACTGGAACGATCCCTCCCAGTGTCCCCGTGTACTGGAACGATCCCTCCCAGTGTCCCCATGTACTGGAATGATCCCCCCCGTGTCCCCGTACTGGAATGATCCCCCCCCCGTATACTGTACCCCCGTATACTGGAGTTATCCCCCCCAGTGTCCCCGTGTACTGGAATGATCCCCCCAGTGTCCCTGTGTACTGGAATGATCCCCCCCATGTACCCGTATATGGGAATGATCCCCTTATACTGGAATTAATCCCCCCAGTGTCCCCGTGTACTGGAATGATCCCCTACTGTCCCCGTATACTGGAATGAACCCCCCAGTGTCCCCGTGTACTGGAATGAACCCCCCCAGTGTCCCCGTGTACTGGAATGATCCCCCACTGTCCCCGTATACTGGAATGACTCCCCCACTGTCCCCCCAGTGTATACTGGAATGATCCCCCCCAGTGTCCCCGTGTACTGGAATGATCCCCCCCAGTGTCCCCGTGTACTGGAATGACCCCCCCCCCCCAGTGTGTCCCCGTATACTGGAATGATCCCCCCCAGTGTATACTGGAGTGATCCCCCCCCAGTGTCCCCGTATACTGGAGTGATCCCCCCCAGTGTCCCCCCCATATACTGGAATGATCCCCCCCAGTGTCCCCGTATACTGGGACGATCCCCCCCCCGTGTGTCCCCCCAGTGTCCCCGTGTACTGGAACGATCCCTCCCAGTGTCCCCGTGTACTGGAACGATCCCTCCCAGTGTCCCCCCAGTGTGTACTGGAACGATCCCTCCCAGTGTCCCCGTGTACTGGAACGATCCCTCCCAGTGTCCCCGTGTACTGGAACGATGCCCCCCTGTGTACCTGTATACTGGAGTGATCCCCCCAGTGTCCCCGTATACCGGAATGTATTCTTCAGTCCAAGAGTGGCATAGGAGTCTGGGGCGTAAGGTAGCCCTTCTCTTAAGGTCTCCTTTTCCCAGTTTCACTCCAGACCCCTAAAATGCAACATTCTGGATCGTTGGACAGTCTAGTCTTTGGAGAGAATGATTTGTCTGGGACTAAGGACCAGGTCATTTGAGTATTTAGGCCTCATATTCTTTAGTCCAGAGTTACCCGGCTTATCACTTGAAGTATCTGGGTCCAGTTCTAGACACGTCAAACTTTCCCCTTCCAGGCTCGTGTTCTTCATTGCAAGAGTTCCAACTATTGGTCTGTTTCCACTGCCCACCTACAGTGACTTGGATTACTTCTGGCCGCCTGACCTTAAACCTGCTTCCAGCGATTGGGTTTGTGAATACCCGAGGCCTTGCCTTCATACCTTAAGCTATGTTTCTTCAATGGGCATGGGTTCTGTTGGACAATGTAAGCCTGACTGTCCTGACCTGGTAGAGGTTTGGCTGGATCCAAAACGTTTAGAAATCAATGCTGGAACCGACTCATTGTTTGGAGTATCCGAGTTTAGTCCTAGAGTTTTTCTTCAGCTTGTCTTTGGACCATGTTCTGGTTGACAATGTAGACCTGACCTTGCAAGAAGGTCAGCTGGATCATGAAATTTCAGAAATCAGTGCTGGAACTGACTCATCATTTGGAATATCTGTGTTTAGTCACAGTCCTGTGTTTCTTCCTTCAAACTCTACTCTCGTAGGTATTCACTAACTCATCACATAGAGTATCTGGGACTAGTCCTAGAGACAGCTCAAACCAGCTTTTTTTCTTCTGTTGGTGAAACATCAAATTCTTCCTTGGCAGACTCGTATTTTTCAGCCCAGGAGTTGCCCAAGTCTTGGCTTCTGCATGAGAGTCTTGAGTCTGATGGTAATATCCTTTAAAGAAATTCCATTTGCCCAGTTTCCCTCCAGACCCCTACAACACATCTTGTTGTGGGATAAGTCAGTCCAGTCCATGGACAGAGCGTTTCATCTGGCACCAAGGACCAGGTTGTCTCTTCTTTGGTGGCTCAGGAATCCTGCTCTGGAGTCAGGGAAGTCCTTCCTTTCTCTCATTCAGAAGACCCTTACAATGTATGCCAGTTTGCTAGACTGTAAAAGAGTTCTGGGCACCCTGTTGGTGCAAGGGGACTCGGACATTGGAGAAATCTTGTTTTCCGACCAACAATCAGGAACTTTAGATTTCCTTGCAACGCTGGACACCCCAACTGGAGGGTCATCCAATCTGGATTCAGTCGGAAGGCGCTGGCAAGAGAGCGTGCATATCCTGTCCTGAGCAGAACTTTAGCCTTGTCCACCATTGATATCCCAGCATGCTTCGTAGCCAGACCTTGGGGATTGGTCCTTATGCCTGGAGGTGTTCCAGAACTCCACAGATGGTGGGTGGCGGATGTGGCCCTCCTGCCTGCAGATTTAACAGCAAACTAGACAGGTTTGTCTCCAGGTACAGATAACCTCTAATGGAAGCAAAGGATGCTCTGGTTGCTGTAGGATCAGTACACTGATTTAGGCCTTTCATCCCTTGAAACCTCTTTCTTGTCTGCTTGGCAGGATCAAGATGAACGGCCTTCTGATAATCCTCATTGCTCCAGATTGGCCCAAGAGAATATAATGTGTCAACTTTCTAGGACTCCTGGATCTGCATAGGCTCTGCCAGACCAGGGGGGACTGACCATTTGGAAACTTGGGCACTGCCCGAGGGCCCGGGGTCAGTAGGGGGCCCCATGAGATGCCCCTGGTACCTTTTTCATAGGCTTTTTTGAGTTTGGGAAAGGACACAGGGGCCCCATGATCCCCTATTGCCCGGGGGCCCCATGAGTTGTCAGTCCGCCCCTGTGCCAGACTATCAGGATCTTATGGCGCAAGGGCTGATTGACCATCCTGCTTCACGGTCACTGGATATAACAGCAAGACTGTTGAAATCCATGTCCTGAGGGACAAAGGGATCTCTAAATTGGTGATTCCTATGATGCTAGGAGTTAGGGTGGCTATGTCCAGCAAGGTCTGTCATCAGATGTGTGCTTGGGGCTTCCACTCTAGAGTTCCTCCATGAGATGGATCATCTTAATCATGCAACTGGATCTGGTCAGGAGTTTAGCTCTCAGCACCATCAAAGGTCAGGTTTTTGCTCTTATCCTCTTTCAGAGTCTGATGGCCCTTCACTCCTTGGTTAAGACCATAGAACATGAGTCTCATGTAACCTGTCTGTTTCCCTGTGACTTCATGGGACCTTAATTTGGTTCTCTATGCTTCAGAAACTGCTGTTTGAACCCATTAGAGACATTTTTCTCTCTACTTTCACTTATGTATTCTTTGTAGCCATCACCTCCTGCACAGGTGACTATCTGAACTGCCAGCCTTATCCTGCAAGGAACTTTTTCTGGTTTTCCTTAGGGGTGAGGTGAGGTGAGATCCAAGACCTCCTTCTTTCCTAAGGTAGCTACTACTTTTCACCCTAACAAGGACATTGTTCTTTTTTCTGGCTCGTGTTCACGCTAAAGAAATCTCCCTTTATTTCCTGTAAATGGTTCAAGCTATGAGAGTCTGTTTCTAATTCGCTACTTCTTTCAGAAAAGCTGCCTATCTTTTTGTCATCCTGAATAGACTCTGGAAGGATCTTCTGGTGTCTCCTTCCACCTAAACGGCTTAGAC